CCTGTGAGTCTGTCACTATAGGGCAGTGGTGGGCATGCTTTCTAGTCCTTTAATCATTCTTGTCTCTGAACCCTCTCACCATCCTTCTTGAACTGTTGCAGCGGTTGCACCAGGTCCACATACAGAGGTAAAATAGCCTCTCTACTCCTACTCAAGATTTCCCTGTTACATCCAATGATCACAAGTTTGTGACAGTCCTGCTTCTTGCTATCCCTCTACAGCTGCAATTACAGACCTGTGCCACCCAACCACACAGGGCACATCTACCCCACACCACCCCTCAATCATCAGTCTGGGTTCTTCTTCCTTTTGTGGCTCTGGCTGAGTCTCAGGTACAGGATGGTGCAGGCTCACTGCAGCCACATGCTCAAGGCCCAGCCCAGAGCTGACTCTTGTCCTGCTGTATCCCTGCAGCAGTGGCAATCACCTGGTGTTCACACCCCTGCATCCTTCTCCCTCTTCTGCCCTGGAGACCTTGCCACAGGAAGTTGAATAAGAATCTCTTTGCCCAATTCCCGTTTCCTTGTCCCCCCACCAATCAGACCTTCAGAGGATGAACTAGTTTTGGTGAAGGGGAATTCACAGCCCCTTAATTTAATTTCACACCTCTATGACTGGTAAGAGGACACTCCTTCTTTCAAACTCCTGCTTAATCACGTGACAGATAGCCAAGAAAAGATTAAGGGCTGCCTGTTTCAGTCTGGCAGTATCTACAAAAACTAAATACAAATTAGTGAAGGGGAAAAAACCTGAGTGGCCAGCCAGCTGGCCAGCCGGAGGGGGGGCTGGAGGAGGGGGTGAAGAGGCACGAGCGGCAGGCATAGGGGGCCCAAGCAGAACTGGGGGTGGAGCCAGGGCAGGACTTCGGGGGGGGAGAGGGGAGAGAGACTGAGCGGGGGTGGGCCTTGAGGCAGGGCCACGGTCCGGGCATGCACAGCCTCCCCAAATGGAGGAGTCACGCGCTGCCCATGGAGGCTAGTGTGAATAATGACAGCTCATTTAATTGCTCCGGTGGCTGTAGGTCAACCTAAATGAAGTTGACCTAATTTTATAGTGTAGATAAAGCCTCCGTGTTTGGGAGTAGGGAAGTAATGCTTCTTAGACACGGCCAGGTGTGGTGTTAAATTTTCCCAGATTACTGGGTGGGAGCTGAAGTCTGTTCTGTTTTGTATTGTATTGTCAAGAGGAACTCCTAGATAATGAACCCAGCCCTTCTTGTTGCCAGCTCGACCTGACAGAAGAATTACATGTGCATCATCAACAGAATTGTTACCAAAGTTCCAGTCAGTCACATTTGTGCAATCCCACTGATAACAGAAGATTACACAGGGGTGTGGGAGATCATAATTTGATTTGAAGAAACTGGATTCCAGTTGAAAGCTAATAAATACAGTTTAGCACTTAATTCTCAGACTGAGTTTACAGCGGTAGCAATTATTAAAACAAAGCAGAACTTTATCTGTAAACTGAGTATATGAATAAAAAAATTGAGACACAAATAAAACTCCCCCAATACTATTTTTTCAGTCAGTTTTCTGAGTAAAATTGCAATCTCAAACTCAGACATCAGGTCATAGCATCACCAGAATAAATTTTACAGTAAAGTGCTTTTCCCAGAAATTCTATTGATTAATTTTACAATTTCTGTAAATGACATTTCCTTTTATCATAACAGCCTACACCTGGAAGATGCATCAAGGCCTAACGTCGAGACCGTGGGGCAGTGTAGGACTCACCCCTGCAGCGCCTCCTGGTGGTCTCTTCCGGGAATTAGCTCTTCCAGCATCCTGGAGCACCCCCTGCAGGCTGGTGATCCCCCTTGCCACTGACCCCGTGTCCCTCTCAGGACCCTTGTGCCCCTTTCTCTGGGTGCTGCCCCCTGACAGTACCCCCACAGTTCTGGGTCTCCCCCTCCCAGAGGAACCCTCACACACCATCCTCACTTCACCTCAGTCTTGGCTATTGCCCAGTCTCCATCTAGCCCCCGTTCACTGGGGCAGACTACAGTATAAGCCACTCATCACAGGCAAAGGGGTTTGGACCTGCTGCCTCTGCCTACCCATGGGCTGCCTCCTGCAACCCAAGTGCCCCTTTGGCCTTACCCTAGACCTGCACCCTGGGGCTTTCCTAGGCCGGAGCTCCCTGGGCCTTTCCCCAGCCCTGCTCCACTCTAGACACTTCGGTAAGCTCCCTGAAGCCAGACCCTTCTCTCCCTGAACACAGAGAGAGAGACTGTTTACTTGAGCTCCTGGCTCATGCCTTTATAGGGCCAGCTGGACCCTGATTGGGGCATGGCCCCAGCTGAGCCTGCTTCCTCCCAATCAGCCCAGGCATCTTGCCCTTCCACAGCCCTCCTACAGGGCTGTTTTAACCCCTCAGGGCAGGAGCGGGTAACCACCCCGCTACAGGCAGTAAGAAGGTCAATCAGCCAATTATACTGAAACCAGGACATAATCCCAGCTTTATTATGTACTGTAAGAATTCCTCTGCTAAACCAGTATGTCCTGGAACCACGTGGGTTACGGTTGATAAATTTGTTCCAAAATCTATGGGTATCCAAAGCATTCTAATGAGAAACTCTTAAACAGCAAAGGATTAAATCTGAATTTAATTTTTTTCCAGGAAATGGATAAGCGGTTATATACTAAATAAAAGTTCTATAGTCTTTGCATTATGGGGAACTAGCATGAATAGCTGCTCTTTGGCCATGGGGAGCAAACGAAGGCAGGAATTATTGCAAAACTTTGAAGACGATTTCAAAAGCTCACTGAAACACTCAGCCAAACCCTTCATCCCCAGAGGGAGAGATTATAAACACCACCTTAAAATTAATATCCAAATCAGGGAGTGTCCCTCACCAAAAAGGAATAAGCTCTGGGGAAAGCCAGCTTTGAGGATTTTTGAAGACTCGCTGGGCATCAGAGGGGAAAGTTTCAACCCCAAGACACATTTTCAGAAAGAAACGAAGAAACAGAAAATTCAAAAACATCACGGGCACATTTTTTATTATTAATTTATCAAATATTTTTTCCAGATTTAGGGGCTGTTTGCAGGGGTGGGTAGACACTGAATTTGCTAGAGTAAAGTGTGAGAGCCCATTTGGGTATGCTGACGCACTCTGGGATGAGGCGGAAGAGGCAGGTCAGCCCTGGCATCAGCATCATGAGAATATTGCGCACCGATATGTAGTTGTAGACAGGTCTCCCATCCACGTCACGGAAGCGGTAGCGGCGGGCGAGGTCTGGGGTGAGCAGCACCTTGCCGCTGTGGCACATGATGGCGGGATCGGACGCCAGGCCAACCACGCACTTGCCACTCACTTCTGGGCTCTCCGAATTGCCAATCATCTTCTGCAGCGGCACAACCCACGGGCCTGAGCCCTCGGCCTCCTTCAGCACTGCCTCAGTGCGGACGAGGCCGGGCCACAGCGTCACACAGGCCACGCCGTAGGGGCGCAGCTCGATAGCACAGTCGGCGGCCAGGCGGTCGCAGGCGGCCTTGCCCACGCCGTAGGGCACATTGAACATGTAGCGCAGGCCACCGGGCGAGGAGATGACGACGATGAGGCCGCGCCCGGCCGGCACCATGAGGCGGGCAGCGTAGTGGGCGCAGAGGTAGTGGCCCCGCAGGCCCGCATTGTTGATCTGGTCCCAGAAGGCAGCCGGGCTCTCCCAGAAGGGCAGCCCCAGCTGGGCGGCGATGGCATCCACCCCGGAGAAGGCGTTGGTCACCAGCACGTCCAGCCGCCCGCCATCCGCCTGCTGCAGCCGCTCGAACAGCGCCGCCACCTCCTCCTCCCGCGACGAGTCGCACACCACGGGCACGCAGCGCCCGCCCCGGGCCGACACCTCCTCCGCCGCCCGGACCAGCGGCTCCCGCTGCCGGCCCGTGATGTACACGGTGGCGCCCGCCTCTGACAGCTGCAGCGCGATGCCCTTCCCTAGGCCCCGCGAGGCGCCGGTCACCAGGCACACCCGGCCCGCGAGCCGCCCGCCGCCGGACATGCCACCGCCGCGGGAGGGCGCTGGCCGGAGTCGACCGAGAGGCGGTGAGGCTGCACCACAAGCCGGGGAGAGCCGCGGCCACTGCAGCCCGGTTAAATCCCGCCCCTGCCTTCTACTCTCCCGCGATGCAGCTGGGGACACGCCGGAAGTTTCCGGCCCGGACGAGCCTCCCCCGCCTGCAGCTAGACGCCGCCCCGCCCCGCTTACTCAAGGGGAGCGGCCCCTGCGCTGGCGACACCGCTTGGCTCAGGCCAGGCCAGGCCCGTCCCCCCTGGCGCCGGAGCACGGCTGGGATCACCCCTCTGCTATCTTCCCCTCACTGTCTGCACTGGGACGGGACAATATGGCTTCGAGTCAGAGACCAGCCACCCAGAGCTCTTTGCAGGAATACTGCCCCTCCCGTCAGAACCACACTAGCTGCGCCGTCACACCACGATTGAATACACCGGACCGTGAAACACTCGTATTAGGAAAGGCTCTATAGGCAGGACTGGAACCCATCCAACACGTCTTTTGAAAGGAGTGACAGCTTTGAGTTAATCCTTTACTCCAATTTTACTAGCGCTTCTGAGCTCCACCTTTGAATTTTTTTTCCTGCAACACTGAAATAGAAGCAGCAGCTCCACGTGTACAGTGCATGACCATCACGATATGGTACAACTCCTCCCCTCTAAGACATCATCATGGCTATAGGAGAACAAGAACTTTGCAACTGTTAAGGCAGTTATAGATACACTAGCCCCATAGGGTTGCTCCTATACAGAAAGGGTGGTATATTAGAATAGATACTAATAAAAACTGGTGGAAGAGTAAATAAGAGCCTTGGTGAGCCATACAGCAGTGACACATTACAGTTACAACCTTGTAGTACTATTCCCATCCAGAGCAAGTCACTATAATCTTCCATACTCCAGTAAATTGACCAGATTCCCCACTTTATTATCATACAGGGCTAACCTAAGGCCCAACCTTATATTCCTGCAGAGTACACAATGATGAAGCCTATAAATATTTATTATTTTTTGGCAAGATATAATTAAAAATGCTGAAAAATATTAACACATTATAAATAAGATGATTGAAAAGCTATCTAAATGCATTTAAGGTTTCACATCCACTGAGTTCCAGAGAAAAGTAGTAAATAGGCCATTCTTTAAGGAATCCTCGCTGCTGTGAACACTTGAGAAGCCTGGCAGCGAACCTTAAAAAAGAAAATTAGATGCATTCAGAGAACAAAAATATCACTTAACATATACTTTATGTAATTGTGAGCATTATTAAGTAATTTCAAAACAGTATTATAAATTAGCTATAATTTTTTTTTAAGTATTAAATAACTTTAACCTAGAGTTAAGGTTACCTATTTCTTTCCATTATAAACCTTGTTTGCAGTTGCTTATAACTTTACCAAACTTTAGACATTCACGCTGAAGTTTTTCCATGCTGGGTGTCTACCTTAGGCTGACGGTTTAAATTTCAGCTGAAAGAATGAGACTAGGGAAGTAGTTATTTTACCTATATTAAAAAATTCATATAACCGTTTTGTTGAGAAGCTCTAGCACCTTCATGTGGAGGGGGACACCTGGTGTCAAGGATGTGTCTTTTGTTAAGGATAATTGCCCAAAAAGTTCACCCCAAATTTGGCCAAGTTATAAGCCTCTGAAAAATTTGTTTGGATGTGCTCAGCAGAGGCCTATTAGAATTCTAAATCCATGGAGCACTGCATCATTAATGGTCTGGATGATGGGATGGACTGCACCCTCAGCAAGTTCGTGGATGACACTAAGCTAGGGGGAGAGGTAGATATGCTGGAAGGTAGGGATAGGGTCCAGAGTGACCCAGACAAATTGGATAATTGGGCCAAAAGAAATCTGATGAGGTTCAACAAGGACAAGTGCAGAGTCCTGCACTTAGGATGGAAGAATCCCAGGCACTGCTACAGGCTGGGGACCGACTGGCTAAGCGGCAGTTCTGCAGAAAAGAACCTGGGGATTACAGTGGACAAAAAGCTGAATATGAGTCAACATATTGCCTTGTTACCAAAAAGGCTAACAGCATATCGGGCTGCATTAGTAGGAGCACTGCCAGCAGATTGAGGGAAGTGATTATTCCCCTCTATTCAGCACTGGTCAGGCCACATCTGGAGTATTGCATCCAGTCCCCCCCACAGAAAGGATGTGGACAAATTGGGGAGACCCTGAGGGAACTGGGCTTATTTAGTCTGCAGAAGAGAAGAGTGAGGGGTAATTTGAAAGCAACCTTTAACTACCTGAAGGGGGGGTTCCAACGAGGATGGAGCTCGGCTGTTATAAGTGGTGGCAAATGACAGAAGGAGCAGTGGTCTCAAGTTGCAGTGGGGGAGGTCTAGGTTGGATATTAGGAAAAACTATTTCACTAGGAGGATGGTAAAGCACTGGAATGGGTTACCTAGGGAGGTGGTGGAATCTCCATCCTTAGAGGTTTTTAAGGCCCGGCTTGACAAAGCCCTGGCTGGGTTGATTTAGTTGGGGTTGGTCCTGCTTTGAGCAGGGGGTTAGACTAGATGACCTCCTGAGGTCTCTCCCAACCCTAATCTTCTATGATTCGGGCTGAAGCACGATCAGTACACGGCTGCATGGATTGAACAGAACTTTCCCTGTAATTGCTCCGCCAACACTTCTGAGAACTGCTGTGTCTGGCAATAGAATTGAGCAGAGACAGTGTCTCCTAAGCTATCAATATTGCCACTGTTGGGCAAGATGGAGGAGAAAGCAACCTGACTGGAATGCAGAGGGGCAGGGGAATGGACCTAAAGGGTGAAGAGCAGCAGTAGAGTGGGAGGGGGAAAGGGACAGACAGGAGAGACAGGGGAAAAACAGTCTAGTCTAACCACTGAGTACACTCCCCTCCAGAACCAGGAAGTGAACCTAGGCGTCATGAGACTATATTTCTCTGCTGTCAGCCAATACCAGTGTGAAACATGCTGGTGATGTGTGTCTCATCCCCCACTGGTTTACATATAAAACAATAACCTATTGCTACAGCCTTAATCTTAGTGTAGATAAGATCTAATTAAATTCTCTTTGCAGTTTCAATTGGGTATGGTATTCTTTGTTTCTGAGAAGAGCTCAGTATTTCTTTTGGAGAAAATGCTGTATACATGTAAAGTATTATGTACATACACAAAGCTGCAAGCTTTACAAAACTGATTTAGGAAACTGTTTTTAAGAATAGTAGAATTAGTATATATATTTTGGTCTTGAATATTCCTTTAATTAGAATTACAAGAACTTGAACCACATGAGTATAAGAATATGTACTAAAGTGTTTTAAAGATCTTACTTTTATTAGTGAAGAATAAACAGATGGGCGTTTTGTTTTGGCGTGTTTTGCTGGAGTGTGGGGTGGGGAAAGATGAAAAAAAGATCACAACACACCCAGATTATCAACTGTATATATCCAGAGTGGTTAAGACAAAAGGTTAATTCTATTATGTTTCTGTGTACAGAAACTTTTCTGGAATACTTACAACTTTCTCCTCTGGTGAGAGCTCGCCATCTACAGCCACTATTTGGTACTGCTTATCTTTTAAGCTACCCACAAATTTCCTAAGTAGTTTGAGACTGGTATCATCATTGCTTTGTTTTAACAGTTTCTGCATTTCTTGTGATGGACAGCCTGGGTCAAATATTAGTAAACATAATGTTCTATTCTTCCTCTCTTCTATGCCAACAATAGTACGGCTATGCCCTAATTTCAAAACAAAATAATGACAGTTAAAAAACTTGCATCAGGTACTAGGACTTCTTTTATCCCTTTCTTGCTACAAGTCCTTTGGCCAAGTAAAGAATGAGAACATTTTATTTAACAAGCTATTTGCCAATGAAAAGTTGATATCAACCAGTTTAAACCCCAAATCTGGCCTTCAGTCGACTGTAACAATTTTAATCTGATGGGAATCTTATTTTATATATTTCTCTTTACTTAGAACAAATAAGATTAACAGGAAATAAATTGGGAAACTTCCTGCATACAGGGATGAAGGAGGCAGAGAATATGAAATGTCATTTGAAATAATACCATGTTATACAAATATAATAAAATTCTATACAAGAGATCAAGAAACTAGTACAGATTATGCTGACCTTGGTGCTGCATGTAGATAGGTGGTTTGGGGGTACACACAACCTTTGTACCACCTTCTCTGTTTGAAGAATAGTAGCTCAAAACCCATTCAAATAAACGAGGGTGTGTACCCAAGGGGCCAGTTGGCTTGTGAAAGTCAATGATTTGACACCTACAGGAGATTTAAGATGAAAACTCAGAGTATTATAGTAAGTCCAGGTTTTTTGTTTGAATGGTTTGTAGTGCCTAGTCTTTATTCTGAAATGTTAGATACACTTATCACTGCCTTTACAAAAATAGCACTAGCAGTAGTTTCATAATTGTGTGGAACCAGAAACAGACCACAGACCCTGCTGGTCTGGAATGGTCTGATGACAGTTCAGCCAGATACCTTCATATTATGCTTAAATTTTTTTTAAAACTAGAGCAAAAGCTATACTTAAGAAGCAATGTGATTTCTATTGTCCAAAACTGGAAAAAACAAAACAAAACACTATCCCTTTGGTTACAAATGTTCCATTCTTAGTCTCAGCTCAAAGATAATTTGGGGAGTTTATGAAAATACTGTCACCTTCACCTTGAGTTATCCAAAGTGGCAGGACAACATCATATTTTAAGTTTGAGTAGTAAATTGAAACACACGCAAATCAATAGCTGCACTTAAAACTTTTTTCATAAGACTAGATCTCAATTAGGAAGAGTGGCTGTGAAAGTTTTAATGAATGTGAAGCTTTAATTAAAGTGAGTTTTATGCATAGGCGGTATGGAATTTTACTAAGGCCTTGTCTACCCTGCCACTTAAGTGAATGTAAGTTATGTTGCTCGGGGGTATAAAAAAACCCCACACCCTTGAGCCATGTAACTCACATAGACTTAATGCGGTGTCTACACCACGTTATGTTGGCGGAAGAAGCTCTCCCGTCGACATAGCTTCCATCTCTAATTGAGGTGGATTAATTGCATTGATGGGAGAGTGCTCTCCCATAGACTTGTGTCTTCACCAGACTGCTAAATCGACGCTGCTGCTTTGACAGTGGTGCCGATTTAGTGCCATAGTGAAGACATGCCCTAAGTTTTAAGCCGAATAACTGCCTGCAGTTCTATGCAGATTCACAAATTGTGTGGTGCTTTAACTAAGGGCTTGTCTACACTACAAAATTAGGTCAACTTAACTTAGGTCACCGTACAGCCACCAAAGTAATTCAATTGGCTGTTGGTGTCCATACTACCCTCCTTTTGCTGATGAAGCACATCCTCACCAGGAGTACTTGTAACAACTGAATTGGGGCACTGATAGCCAAGTGAGGGGCACTGACAGCCGCAAGGGGCTCACACCTGGAGCCCCCATGCACCTCAGGGTGACAGCCCCAGCTGTGAGCTTAGTACTGGGCTCAATTTCACAGCCGTAAGATTGACATTCTTGCCAATTTCATGCGGTTATTGTCTCTGCTCCACAGGGCTCTCAGCCTGGACAGCTTGGTTTCCACCCAGGATCTCCACAGGGAGCTTGGGCTCTCAGTGCAGGGCAGCCTGGCTCACAGCTGTAGCTGTGAAATTGACAAACTGTAAGCCCTCCACTGGGCTCAATTTCACAGCATGGTGCTTACCAGCCATGGGGCTACAGCTGTGAGCCCCAACAGCCACTGTAAGGAACACAGTGTCTGACGAAGTGGGTATTCACCCATGAAAGTTTATGCTCCAATACGTCTGTTAGTCTATAAGGTGCCACAGGACTCTGTCGCTTTTTACAGATCCAGACTAACACGGCTATCCCTCTGATAAGTGTCTACAGCAGGGGCCAGCAACCTTTCAGAAGTGGTGTGCTGAATCTTCATTTATTCACTCTAATTTAAGGTTTCACATGCCAGTAATACATTTTAACGTTTTTAGAAGGTCTCTTTCTATAAGTCTATAATATATAACTAAACTATTGTTGTATGTAAAGTAAATAAGGTTTTTAAAATGTTTAAGAAGCTTCATTTCTTCATTGGTTCTGCTTTGAGCAGGGGGTTGGACTAGATGACCTCCTGAGGTCCCTTCCAACCCTGATATTCTATGATTCAAAATTAAATTAAAATGCAGAGCCCCCCGGACCGGTGGCCAGGACCCAGGTAGTGTGAATGCCACTGAAAATCAGCTCGCTTGCCATAGGTTGCCTACCCATGGTCTAGACCAAGCTTCAGTCTTATGTGCGTTTAAAGATCAGTCAAGTTTAAAGCCAATGAAGTTGCATAAGTTATACAGCTCCAAAAGCAGTGTGCCTGGTTCTCACTCTCATGGAAAGGAATTTAAAATAAGAAACCCATGGCCTAAATTGGTTTGAGTGTGCAGATATACAAAACACAGCATACGTGTAGGCTAAGAATTTTGGCACCTCCACCACCTTCAAAGTTGATGTGAAGAGAAGAGACATAAGTGTGGTCAATTATTAGCTCTATAATTATAAAATTAGACAAACAACATAGTGTACTATCATGTGTTACTGCTCAATATGTTTAGTTTGGAACCGAAAACATCCCTTATTCTTAAGAGATTATTGAAAATTTTCACGTACTTTAACCTGAGACTGGTTAACAGAGAATAAATTTCACATGCTCCTATCCATGCCTTGGTACCATGTAATCTATTGCTGAAGTGAGATGCTCCTCGAGGATCAAAACCTTCTTTCCAAGCATCTTCAATCATGGACTGAATTTTTGGAATACAAGGAATTAAAGTAATATCTGAAATAAAAAAAGCAACATTTATGTTGCTGATACCATAAACTGAAGCAGTCTCTTATTGCTAAAAGTGCAACTAAGGGTATGTCTTCACTACCGGCTGGATCAGCGGGAAGCGATCGATCCAACGGGGATTGATTTATCGTGTCTAGTCTAGACACGATAAATTGATCCCCGAGCGCGCTCCCATCAACTCCTGTACTCCAGCTCCGCGAGAGGCGCAGGCAGAGTCAACGGGTGAGCGGCAGCAGTCAACTCACCGTAGTGAAGACACCGCGGTAAGTAGATCTAAGTACGTTGACTTCAGCTACATTATTCACGTAGCTGAAGTTGCGTAACTTAGATCGATCCCCCCCCAGTGTAGACCAGGCCATAGTCTTAATCAGTGTTTCATTTATAAAAACAGGAATGACAGATAATCAAAAAGCCTTAATGTGTTACAAAAATACATTTCTATTTCTAGCTCTTTACTCTAAAATATTAATTTCAGTTGTGTCTCCTTCAGTATTCAGTCTTCTTGTCTCAAATTTGTTCCTGAAAATTTGTAGAATACCTGCTAACGATAAAGAAACTATTTCATAGATATCACTAACCTATTAAGTATCACAAAGTTTACACTCCTTGATTTCTAATTAATCAGAATGTTGTATGCAGAAGTTAACATTCAAAATGGTAACTCACTGTACATACCTCTCAAACAGTCATTATACATGCCATTCCTCAATAATGAAGAAAGCAGCATTTGAAAGTTCCTGTAGCCACAACCCCAACCTTTGTCTCCCAAAGATGAGTGGAAGTGATCCACTCCTGTAGAAAGCCATACACGCCTTACATCTTTGATTTCATTTTGATAGTACCCGGACAGTGCTTCAATGACTCCTAAAAGATAGAATATAAATATTAAGCCTACACAATGCACGAGTTAATATTCTGTAGGGGCAGGTTCTCTTTATCTAGGAACAGGTTGAGAAATCAAAAAGACAACACAGGTCAGAACTGATGAATAAGCATATAGCAGTCAGTTAAATTGTGAACTTAGGTCATGTACAGACATTAGACAATCTGGCCATTTCATTTCTCTCCCACGTACCATAACTTGATGAATCAACATATTTCTCATATATTTTAAAAATCTGGCTGAGCTTTTCTGTTGCAGCCACATCAAGTGCCTTTTCTAAGATCAATATACTGCATGAAAATATAACAGCATATGTATAATTGGTCAATTGTGAACTACAGAAGTGATACAAGGGATGTGACTAATTACTACTAATTGTATGACAAGTAATTCCAACAGACAATGCTAACACTCTACTCCCATCATGTTATCCCTTTTCAACCATGAACATCATTATGGATACTATCGGTAATCCTCTCACACTTCTTCCAGACCCTCACTTTTTAAGGCAGTCCTTGAATAATTACTCACCAAGCAACATCCCCCAAAGTAATGTCCAAGAAAACAGTGGCATAGAACTCAAACTTTCAAAAATTAGAAAAGCCACTCATTGTGGCGTGTCAAGTCTATTATTGTTATGCAGCAAGGAAATTCTTGGAAGTAGCTTTGCATTCACCGGTGCATTTAAGTGCCCAAAGGCCATATACTGCCTCATTTGTTGTTCTGCCATAAACATTACCACTTAAAGTTTAAAAAGCATTGCAGTTCACCTTTAAGATCTCAAGTCTTTAAGACCAATTTGTTAATTCCAATTAATGCAGGTGGAATTAAAAGCTAAATTTTAACTATCAAAGGCCTGAATTGAAGTTTCTGTAAGCACTAGTTGCCAACTATAGCTAAGGTAACAAAACCTTGAACTCTGGTTTTGGCAGGCAAATAAAATGAAAGGATTTTCAATGCCTTTTTAAAAGGCACTGGTAATTTTTAGTACACTTAACATACTGGAAGTAGCTTGGGATCTAAACTTTAGCATATTAAATGCTATCTGAATTAGATACTAAGTAAACATCTACCTCTGAAGAATCTTTGAATCTGAAGAAACAAAGACCTGAAAATGTGGGGGAAACCCTATTAGATCATGTGTTATCCAGACAAGCAGGCAGAGGGCCAAATGGACAGACCAGACAGCTAGACTCCAAATTTTTAGGGCCATCGATCGCAGAAAGATGGGACTAAACAATAAGTCAGGCATATGCTGGGCTCTACCTAATTAAAAGATAGTACAAGTAGCTAGGGATATCCAACAGCCCTGAATTGAGACGGAACCCCTCTCTATCTAGCTCAGGTTCTCAACCTGTGGCCCAATCAGCACAGAGCTGCGACCCATGTGACATCTTCAGGGCCGTGTAGGTAGTATTAGATGCGGCCCATGATGGTAAATGGGTTGAGAACCACCGGTCTAATTAAATACATGGTACAGAAACTGAGGTGAGCTACATAGTAGTAACTAGACAGAATGAGAAGACCAACTACGTAAGTAATAACAAGAACAGCAGCAGTCATAGCAATGACAACTTTTGATCTCTATCAATCTGAGCCGAAAAGATGAAAGGATCCATGCTCCTCCAGCAACACAGGTTAAATACTGACCTGAGGTTTTTGTTTTCCCATCATCTACACCAAAAGCCAAAGATTCCATCATGTCAGCTTTTCTCTTATGATATTCAGAAGGCTGCATCCTTCCCCTAGCTACTTCCCTTTCCATGTTCTTTAGTGACTGCTGCTTGTAGCCTCCAGAACTATCCAATCCATATTGTCTCTGTTGAGCACAAAATATGAATAATTTTAATGTGTTTCTTCCTGCTGATTATCATTGTGAATAAAAAAGAATGAAATTAACAGGTATTGTTCTGAACAAATAAACAATGATTTGGAAATGCTCTTAACATGGAACTAATTCTGCCATGTGGCATTTTGTGCTCTGCTGCAGCTATGTCAAGCTTGAACTGATAACATCAGTCTGCCGGAAAGCACCTTTCTGAGGAAAGTGTTTGATTATTATTGGACTCTAGCATACAAAAATAAATTGCAACACATGAATATTATTACTGAAATTTTTATGCTTATTTAGATTAATAAAGCCTACCATGAGCTTTTACTGAATTTGGACCTCTCAAACTCCCATTCTCAAAGGAATTAATTTTACATTCATACTTTATTATGTGACAGCTACTATACACAGACATGACATAGCTACTTAATGCAAATAAATAAAATTAAATAATAATACTTAACATGTATCTAGTGCTTTGCATAATCAAAGCACTGTATAGATATTTAACTAATTAATTTTCAAAATATCCTTGGGAGATGATTCACATTTCACAGTTGGGGAAAATGAGACAAAAGTGAAATGACCTGCCCAAAGGCCACACATCAAGTCAGTGGCAAAGCCATATTTAGAACCCAGTACCTCCTGACTCCCAAACTGCCCATTTCTCCAAGACCACATTACCTTCCCACAAAGGCAGCTCTGAATTTCAACATGACACTCAAACTAGAGACTTCCTAATAGAAGCATTTCCCCCAGCTTATTATTTTGTAGTGAGATTCTGACAAAGGTCACTCAGCCAATCAAAGCAGTTGAGCTTTTTCTTTTTATATACTCAAATTTCATTGGTCAAAAATTTGTTTACGGTGATGTGGTAGTGACTGAAGCAATGAAGTATGACCTGCTGATAGAGCTGGTTGACTAGAATTTCCTGAGTTAGATTCACGGTAGCTATGTTCAGCCTACTCCAAGCCAGAGCTTGACTGCTTTTTATTATATCACTAGCCACGTATTAGAATTTATTCTTACACTATAGATAAGAAAAGCATGACTTTCTCTTCATATGGTACAAAATGCACTGCACCTATAGTACATCACATCTGGGATACTACCAAATTTAATCATTTCAGGTTCAGCTCTGCCTGCACAATATTTATCACAGAGATACATAACTGTGAAAAGCAAGACTATTTTATCACTCATGGAGAAAGGCTCCGAGTCTCACCTTACTCAAATTAATCTGAATTATAATATGAAGTTATCAAAATAAAAATAATGTAAGTTTCTATTATAGCTGTTCAGTTTGTTATTACTAAATTGCTAGCAAATTGTGTCATAGGAAATTACCAGGCAAAAAATGTGAAAAATAGCAAGATACAACAGAAAGATACAAATAGTTATGTGAGATGCTAAAGTGAGAATGCACAAACACAACTCCAAGATACTTGTTTTTAGTTTGTGGTTGCAAAATTTTTCAGTGGTACCGTTTGGATGTCATGGAAAAAATTTTACAGTACCTGCAGTTTTTGGAATTCTTCTCTTTCTCGTCTTGCTTCTTCTAATCCTTGCTGTCTGTCTTCTTCATTCTGGAGCTGCTGAGCCAGTTCCAAATCACTTAAACTTCCACCTACATTTATATCTACTAGTATTTTAAAAGAAAAGAAGATGCATGCACGTTTCAATAGGTTGACATAAAAATATATATTTACCTATAGCAATGTGTTTGCATACACATAGCTGGGTAGAAGATGAAATGGTGAATGCCGAGGTTAAAATGTTTGCTTTCTGTATACTGACAACAAAAGAATTAAAGCAGACATTAGGATGTGTGTAGAGTTCAATTTTGAGGAAGTGGATGGGTATGCCCTGGACAGGTGTATATTGAACTGTAAGGGACTCTTGTGAAGCTAAGGCATCTGTGGATTTGGGTTATGTCTGGATGATAAAGCATGTGAACTGAATTTGTCTGGAAGTTAACTAGTATTTCCTTGTTTTTTAGTGATTACATTGACAGGAAATACATTTGAGTGAACTTAACTGTAGGATAACTCTTTTTGGGAAGGAATTCCCCTATTTTACTAAGTTATTAACAAAAAACTTTAAACAGAATTGGTGTAGGTGTGATCTGATGCTATGGAAGATTATGGGAACTGTTACCTGACAAGCAGCACTCGTAAATGCTATCAAGGAGGCATCTTCTGTGTCTGAAAAAATTCTCCTTTGGTTTGCTAGAGAGGAGCCCCAATCTGTTGGACCTTACTAGTTCCAAAAGACCAGGACTCCCGCAGACAAACTTTATCAGATCCATGACAGGTTGGGTGGCCTGGACTGAAAGTGAGAAACAAGAAACCTGGTGTCAGGGACTGAATGGGAATCTGTTAGAAGGGTACAGAGCTAGGGAACTAGAGAGGCCCATATAAGAGGACAGAAGTAACTGGTCAACCAGCACCAGCACCTACTCTTGGCAAAAAAGAACTGTGACTTTACCATAGGAAACCTACATATGTGAAATTTAGAGCATGTGTGTGTATGGATATGTTTTATGGAGTTGGAAAAAACATAAGGTAAGCAGGGCTAGTTTTTTTAAAGTGTCTCATTATAAATGTTTTAATTTTGCCTAATATGTACACTACATCTGCTCAGTGGTTCCATAAAAAAATAAATTGTGATGGTTTGCGGTAAGTGTAGTTTGTGAAAGTGACCTGTAAAAGGGAATTACAGGGTTTTACCTCTCACTTATTGACTAAAGTTTAGTGTAACCTTAAGTTCAGAGTTGATAGTGGCATCTGCCTAATAAAGTAATAATTTTTCTTGGACAAACCTAGACAAATGCTTGAGAAGTTCAAACTATCTTTTTCTTGATTTGCTTTGGTACCCATAAATAAATATAAATGAAGTACAACTAATTTAAAATACTTTTGATCAATACCAAGTTTTGATCTTTTCATGTACCTTCTGAAAAGCGGTGTTCTTCTAAGTGCAAGTCAACATGTTCCTGGAGAATCTGACCGTTTGCACAGACAAGATCACACATTGGACATTCATATAGCTGTTGATCATTTCCTGTATTTAAAGAAGAACTGATTTAAATGTGATGAACAATGCTATTATTTGGTATTTCATATGAGAAAAAAACAGTTGACAGTATATATTCTGAGAGGGATGTTCAAGCTGACAACAGTGATTAATTTTGTATTGACAACAAAAGAATTTCCTACTGGATAACCCAATGAACTGTACAGAGTAATTATACTCTTAAAATGGATTTATATATAGTTTGTATGTTAAGAAAATTAAACTCTTCCCACTTAAGCTATGACAAGTCTGTTGGTGGAGGGATTCTCTTTTTTTCTATCAAATAACTGTTCATCAAGCATAATATCCTGCCCCATTTAACTTAATGATCAGAATTTGTTACCAATTCTTCCTTTCAGAGAGATGATGTTTAGCTTGAAACATCCATTCAAAAGCAAAAGAAAGAAATGTCTGCTGTCAAGGGAGAAACCCATGTTTCCAAAAGAACATGTGTCCAGCCCTACAGTTGTGAAACCAACATGCAAAGGAAAAACAAATCAGCTAGTAATTTTTCTGCTTTATGATGTATAAAAGAGGTGGGAAGTTTTCCCTACCGCCACCCAAAAGAGATTTTTCCTGCCTATTTTTTTTTTTTAACTTAGAAATATAAAATATATTATGTTTGCCTACTGTTTTTGCTAAAGGTTTCCTTGGAGGACCAGAAGACTGGAATGGGGAATTGCTTATTCCATTTACATAGACAGGATACTGTGATGAATCTTTAACAAAGACTTTTTCTTAGAACTTTTAATCACGTTTTTTATTTTAATGTGTTGTTAAAACCAAAAATAGTTTTACAGAGTTACAAAAATTCACTTTCCTTTCTCAATTCCCTTTCTTGGGACATACTCAATGTATATGAGAATTAATAAATGGAGCATTGTTGTTGCAGGAAAATGGCAATGAGTTATGCTCACCATGAGTAAAAAATCGTAACTATTAGAGACAAGGCCTCTTATGCTCCATGGACCTACATTCAGCAACAAAAGTATGCAGCACTTTAGAATTCTGCAAGAGAGAGAGCGTGTGTGTGTGTGTGTGTGTGTGTGTGCGTGTGTAAGTAAAATTAATGGAAGATGTAGTTATCTTATACACAATAAGCATAGTAGCACCTCCCCCATCTTATTTTTATTAAATTCTAGCATTTAATGCTGTCATTATGTTTTTGGTTTTTTTTCCTGCCACAAATTTTTGTAGTAACGGTACACAACTGTACTGTAGAATTTGTCAGGAGTGAAGCTGCAGGTTTAGACAGTTTAGAAGGGGCTGTTGTGGAAGCATGGAATACAGTTCAGAACTGTGAGATACGCACATTAGATGAATGTTTCTGCTGGAATGATCTACAATGTAATAGTTAATGTTGAAATTTAAATAGTCATCTTCAAGTGTGAGAAATACACTAAGATAGATGCAACAGAGGGTCCTGTGGCACCTTTAAGACTAACAGAAGTATTGGGAGCATAAGCTTTCGTGGGTAAGAACCTCACTTCTTCAGATGCAAGACAGATAAGATAGATGGGACAGTTCATGCCTCTCAGAAGTATCATTTTGGCTACCTGAACATTTAGGAAGTCAACAGAGCAGTGATTTACACTTGGTTCATTTTTCAAGGCAACCTTTGCTTCTATAAGGGCTAAAAATAACTTTAAAAAAAGACAAAAATGAAAGCTGGATTCTAAAGCTCATATCTGCATCAAGAGATGGATTATATGGCAAATCCTGCAGCCATGAAAGAACAGACTACATAAGACCTTGAAATGCTTACAGCTCCCACTGCTCACCGTACTCTCAAACGTCAGTTTGAGATATACACAGTTGGAGCTATTGACTGGACATTGGAATATATGTAAAATGTGACTTTATAACAGGGGTCGGCAACCTTTCAGAAGTGGTGTGCCAAGTCTTCATTTATTCACTCTAATTTAAGGTTTCGTGTGCCAGTAATACATTTTAACGTTTTTAGAAGATCTCTTTCTACAAGTCTATAATATAGAACTAAATATTGTTGTATGTAAAGAAAATAAGGTTTTTAAAATGTTTAAGAAGCTTCATTTAAAATTAAATTAAAATGCAGAGCCCCCCAGACCGGTGGCCAGGACCCGGGCACTGTGAGTGCCACTGAAAATCAGCCCATGTGCCGCCTTTGGCACGCATGCCATAGGTTGCCTACCCCTGTTTTATAACATATAAACGTATCACTGTTCCTTAGGTCAGCTTTCTAAAACTGAAGACAATGTATTGTAGTCACTCCAAACACTCTTAAAAGAATCATTTCCTGGCTGAGATGCCAGGACTAAACATATTTGAAGGTACAAGAAACTGAATATTGGTGTTCAGAATAGAACTCCATCTCAACTTTTAACTACGGCATAGCATTTTGACTACACTAAAATTAAGACTAGGATTTCTGGATGCTCACTGTCTTCTCCACCTTTGTCCCTCCTCTCTCCCAGGCTCATGCGGGACACTGCATCCAATTCAGCTCCTATGGCTTTCCCAGCCCTCTTCCTCAAGCTGAATGCCTTTTTGGTCTCAAGCATTAAGTGTGCATGAATAGCTTGATAGTTTCCGGTCAAATATGTCACTTTACTCTGTCAACTTCTGTTTTTTTGTTTTGTTATTAGTTTATACATCAAATAGAAAGGTAATTTAATCTGTCACACAAAAATCCTTATCCTTTGTTGCCACTATTATGTGTACCACATTTTTGCACGGCTAAGCAATACCATGACCCCAATAAGTGTTGTACTTAGTATTCGGATACATACACGTCACCCATGGCCCTCAAACAGTCATGCCCATGCTTAACTTTAGGCACCACGGTGCCTTCAGCCATCGTTAAGCAGACGCAGGAGCACTGGGAAGGGGAGCCTGTCTTGCGTGAACTGACTAATTGCTAAGAGCTTGTCCACACTTGGGGCGGAGTGTAGGCTACACGTAGCTACACCCGGCACGAAAAGGCAGGCAACTTCCGCACTTGCCGCAAGCCGCAGGGAAAGGCTCTGGCAGCGGGACACTACTCTGCACAGCTCGGGCGCGTAGCGAGCCGTGTGTACAGGAGGGCTCGGGTGTATGGTTCTCGCTGCCTCACTGGCTGTTCATACCCGTGCTGGGGCGTGCGGATCTACCCGGGACACAGAGCCCCAGAGGCTGCCTGAGAGGAGACACGGCAGAACGGGGACCCGCACTCACCCGGGGCCGGCGGGTCCAGGAGGTGGCCGTGCCGGGACCTCACGTGCGCCTCCACCTGCCGGCCCGAGGCGCCGGTCTCCCCGCAGAAGGGGCACTGGGGCCGGCCGCCCGCGGGGGCGGGGCCCGGCCTCGGCTCGGGGTGCGCGCTGTCCACGTGAGCGCGCAGCTCGTCGTAGCCGGGCGCGGAGAACGAGCAGAGCGGGCAGCGGGGCTCGCGCTCCAGGTGCGCGCGCAGCAGGTGGCGCCTCATCTCCGGCTCCGTGCGCAGCGCCTGGCCGCAAAGCTCGCACAGCAGCATGGCGCGGGCAGGCCAGGGACCGGATCAGCAACTCGGGCCGGGCCGGCCGCCGTTAATCACCGCTTCCCCTCTTCACCCGTAGGTTTCGTTTCTGCTTCAACTTCAAGTTAAGCGCAGCGCATGCGCGGTAGGAGTCGCTCAGCCGCCTGACGTCATGACATCACTAGCGCCATCGCCCTATCCCTGGACCCGAGAACTTCCGGTTTGGAAGGGTCAATTGTTTTTTCCCTCCCGCCTGCTACCAAGGCCCGCCCCTCGGTGCATGATGGGACTTGTAGTGTTTTGAGGCGCCGCCGGCTTGTCACTGACTCAACCTCGCTCAATCTCGGCGCGCAAGGCCTGCTGGGAAGGAGGGACTCGGCGGCGGGGCTGAGGCCGCCATTTTGAATTGCGAACCAATACGGGCGCTGCTCTGCCCTCCGGCGAAGCGGAGCGGACCCTTCTGAGGCAGCGGGAGCCGCCGCCGCCGCATAGATGGGTGAGAGGGCAATGGGGGAGCGGGGTGCTTCCGCCCGCGGCTCCGGGTGCCAGTAGCGGAGCTCGGTGGCGCCTGTCACCTTCCCATCGTCTCCCGCGTAGCGCCCCGGCGCTGGGAGCGGCAGCGTCACGCTCGCTCGGGACTCTCGCCCTTCCTTGCCCGTCGAGGGTGCTCAGCGGAGCGAGAGCCGGCGTCCCCAGCAGTTGGGTCTCCGGGCAGGTGACAGGAGGGCGACCCGTGAGACTCCCCGCGGAGCTGGCGGACCGGGCCGGGGAGGGGGCTGGGCAGCGGGTGCAACCCCGCATTGGTCGTAGTTGCTTGTTTCTTGTGGCCGGCACCTGAGAACCGGCCCTGACCCGGAGCGTGGTCTCTTCCCCCCACCCCCGCCTGCGTTCGGGTGGTTCCTCATCCCAGGTCAGAGATGGGGCGTCAGTTCCGGAATGTTTGGAATGTAACATCCCTGCCCCTTTTTATTTCAGTTACATGGCCTCTTTGCTGTCTGCTTTCTAGAGGCACTTGCCCTCACCAGAGAGTTTGGGTGGACTTCATATGGTTTGGATTAGAAGCTGGATTAGAAAATACATCTCGAGCCAAACCCATGTCACACCACAAATTTACAGGACTGAGATGGGGAGATCAGGGTATAACAGTACGCCTAGGAACCCCGTTCTGGCTGTCATTGTGCCAGGACCTGTACAGCAAAATAGCAAAGATGATAGTGTCTATCTCAAAGGTATATGCAGTGTTGTTATAGCTGCGTTGGCTCCGGGATATTGGAGAGTCAAGGTGGGTGAGGTAATATCTTTTATTGGACCAACTTCTGTTGTTGAAAGATAGAAGCTTTCAAGCTGCACTGAGCTGAAGAAGAGCTTTGTGTAGCTAGAAAGCTTGTCTCTTTCACCCACAGAAGTTTGTCTAATAAAAGATGTTGCCTCACCCACTTAGTGTCTCTGTCTCAGAGAGTTTATTATCTAGGTGTCAGGATGCAACAGATAGACAAAACAGCCAGGTGGGTGGAGGGATGAGGTTACAAAATGAACAGCATTCAGCAGAAAAATGGAAACTTGATAGTGGCCTGAATACATTAATTAGCAAAAGCCTGGGCAAAGAGGTTTGTACAGTTCTTCTTGAGAAACTTCGGCTTTATTGTTGGTGGGAAAGAATTCCACATATGAGCGCTTATCGTGGTGCCTTGAGCATCACCTTTGGGTGGTTAGTCACTTTTCAGATGAATTTTTTAATTGTGTGAAAAAGGTACTACCTTACTTAGCAGACCACCTTGCGTGTGTTCAGTGTTTGATTATTTCAATAACAAATATCAATCCCTTTCAACTTGGCAGAGTGGTTGCTGCTAAGAGATGAGGGTGGGATTTAATTTTTTTTTGCACATCAATAGAAATTTTAACTATGTTACTAGTTTAAAACTATTGAAGGCAATGGGTTAGAACAGATATCAATGACATCTTAATTTGGTCTCTGCAGAACTGTCGTTGGTGATGCAAGAAAAGGAAAGGACCCAGGTTGATACTTGGATCCAAGGTTGTTTGTGCGGTGGGCATTTAAGAAAAACAAACTTGTAAACAGAGTACAATTAGTACGTTTAGACATTAACAGACAGTAAACATCAATCTATCATTTTCAGTCACTTTTCACCTTAAAAATGCCCTCACTTTGATGTACAGTTAGCTGGTTATGTTTGAGAGGGAGATGCAATCAATTTCCCATGCTTGTTTAGGAAATGGTAGGCAATAATCAGCACTTCCGATTTCATTTTGAAGGCGACTTGCAGTTGATTCACAGTGTAATATGCTTTTTCCAGCTCACCTTCCTCATAAGGCTGTCAGCTTTGTTTTGCAGTAGTTGAAGCTTTTAAGTGCCTTTCATGGTTAATCTTGGGTAGAGTGCATTGCAATAGTCTAAGCTAGAGTTTACAAAATACAGCTGTTAAGTTACTATATTCTCTCTTTTTGGTATTTTGGCAGTGTTCAAAATGGGGTAGGCCCTGCCCACAAACACAGGAAAACACAGCCTGTGCCCCAAAGTTTCATAATCCAAGAGAAGGCACTTATATCTCTCAAAATATAGATTTTTGGAGGGTAAAAATCCCATTTTGTTTGTTTGTTATAGACACGATGGCGAGCCCAGGAAAAGATAATTATAGAATGAAAAGTTACAAGAACAATGCACTCAATCCTCAAGAAATGCGCAGACGGAGAGAAGAGGATGGAATCCAGCTTCGGAAACAAAAAAGAGAAGAACAAGTAGGTTTCTAACCATAAAATGTAATAAACATGGTTGTCAATTGAGAGCTTTCCATTCATAAAGATTTAGTTCTACATAATATTCATATAAACAGACTGATTTTTCAGTAACTGTAGTTTTTTACGGATACATACTAAAGTTTGGTTTCTAGAAGAAAATCAAGACAGTAGCAGACATTTTGTTTACACGTAAAAAAATTAGGAACAGTCTGCTAAAGCATAAATATTACAGTTGAGGTTGATGTATCTCCAATATATAAACAGATACAGGAGGCTAATATATTAGGCTAGGTATATTCAGGTGGTGATGGTAAATATTTTATATTTTAGTAGTGACCTGTTGTGATGTCAGTTTGGAAATGAATTTCTTTTTTCTTTAAAGTTTCTCAGTGAACTGCATTAAAATAATGTATAATAATTTTAGTCAGTTACTTTGTAATTAAAAAGTAATGTAATGTATCTAATATGTAACGGCCAAAAAGAGTACATCCATAGCTACCTGGAGTGTACGAACTCTAAATAGTGCAGGAAAATTAGCACAGGTAATCAAAAAAATTGATAGATATAAAATTGACATCCTAGGACTTTGTGAAGTTAGATGGAAAGATCAAGGTATGATAACATCTGGAGAAAAAGCAATATTATATTCAGGTGGAACCAAACATGAGAGAGGTGTAGAAATCATCATGAATAGCACTGCAAAATCACTTATGAATTGGCAGCCAATATCAGATAAGCTACTGGCCGCTAGATTCCACTCTCGGCACATTAAGTGCACCATAGTCCAGGCATATGCTCCCACAAACAATGCAGATGAAGCGGACAAAAAGAGATTCCATACAGAATTGAACGAATTGAAAATGAAAGAAATACCGGTACCAAACCACGATCTTGTCCTAGTTATGGGAGATTTTAATGCCCAGATCTGAAATGAAAGAAGAGGTTGGGAAACAGTCATTGGCCCACATACGACTGGAACAACGACAGACAATGGCACAAGACTTCTTGAATTTTGTGCTGAAAACAATCTTAGCATCTGCAGTTCTTTCTTCCAACATAAAAATATGCACAAAAAGACATGGATTTCACCAGATGGCCATACACAAAATGAGATCGACTATATCTGTGTTAGAGGTGGAAAACATCAGTGTTAGATACAAGAGTATTCAGAGGAGCAGATATAGGGAGAGATCACTATTTGCTGAAAGCAAACATCAAATTGAAGTTTAAAGCGTTTAAAAAGAGAGAACACAGATCAGATTATTCAATACACAGAAACTACAAGATTGCAGGATACGAAAAGAGTACCAGATAGAGGTCAAGAATAGGTTTGAGGCCCTTAAAGATCTTGAAGAAAACGAAGTGGAAAAATACTGGGATCTTTTCAAAACAGCTATGCTAGAAGCAGCTGAAAAGATAATTGGTAGAAAGAGAGGAAACAATAGAGAACAGTGGATCTCAGAAGAAACATGGAAAATTATAGACAAAAGAAGAAAACAAAGCAGTAAAGAAACAATGCAAAAAAGATAAGCGAAATTGGATAGAAAGTAAGGCTAGTGAAGCTGAAGAAGCATGGGAAAGAAACGATACAAGAACAGTCTACATGATCTGAATTTTGATCCATATCCTGTTAACTGTTTCAAGAAGTGTCCCAGTGAAAGGGAAACAAGGAGAAATTTTGAAAACACAGATGGAACAAGAAAATAGACCGGTGGAACACTTCAAAGACCAACCAGAACAATTACAAGACTGGAATTTAACAATGATAAACTATTAGACCTAGATATAGATGTATCTGAAGTAAATATCAAAGAAGTAAAAAAAAAAAAGCATTGTGGAAGCTGAAAAACAACAAGGCACTTGGTTTGGACAGGATTCATTCTGAAATGCTTAAATATGGAGGTGAAGACGTGGAATCAGTCATCTGTTTGCTGTGCAATAAAACATGGACGTAGGAGGAAGTGTCGGAAGAATGGACCCTCGGTATCATAATCAAGTTACCAAAGAAAGATGATCTAAATAATTGTTCAAATTGGAGGGGAGTTACACTTCTATCTGTCACAGGAAAAGTATTAGCAACAGTCCTCCTGAACAGAATTAAAGGAAATATGGATACCATCCTAAGTGAACAACAATCTGGATTTAGACAAGGGAGATCATGCACAGATGCTATTTTCACCCTGAGATGGATTATTGAGAACACAATTGAATTCCAAGGCAGTCTTGCCATCAATTTTGTGGACTTTCAAAAGGCTTTCGATAGTGTAAACAGAGAAACAATGTGGAAAATTGTGGAACAATATGGATTTCCAACAAAACTAATTAACGTTATGAAGGTATTCTATGCCAACTCAAAATGCTGCATTAAAATGGAAAATGGATTGAGTAAGCCATTCAGCATCAAGACATATGTAAGGCAGGGGTGTGTCCTGTTGCCTTTTTTGTTTATGCTAGTCATCGACTATGGATTACAACAATGTGACAGTGATACATGTGGCCTAAAATGGAACAATTCAAGG